TTTAAAGACTGAATGATGGCTGATATGTGTAGCGGATCGTTACTTTATTAAAGCCTGACTGACTCAGAAATCTCTATGACAGATTCTCCTACATCTAGCTTGACTCCCAGAACCAGCTAAGCTATAGCCCAGCTATAAAGGAAACAGACGCGTAGCACAGAGCACGTTTATTCAGTACGGGTATTGCGGATCAAGTGTATATGCAGAGATCTACTCATGACCAGGATGGGGGATTAGGTTAAACAGAGGTTGATGATTGGTCACTGTTTGTACGGTCGCTGCACACAGAGTTGTACGGCCGCACCTCCCAATCCTGGCGAGCAGACATGCAGGCATACGATGACGCACACAGCGATAACGTGTCCCACATATGAAATTAAATTATTGTTTTGGGTTGTTTGATAATTATTCTTCATTAAGAAGCTGCTATCACTATATTTACAAATGTTAAATTTTGATTAATCAATTTCAAATCATCATGATATTTGCCATAACTTTATAACCAATCATTTTGGGTAACTTCTGTCTTTAGGCAAACTTCTGTTATTAGAAATCGATAAGTTTGATGAATAAGCAAGTTATAACGCTCTGACTTCGAAGGTGAAGAGAAGATCGTGGAAAGCAATTCTCACTAATAATATTAGCAAAAAATACAATATGATTGGTCTCCCATTTATAGAAAATTAATAACGAGAAGTCACTCATAATTAATATTTCAATAGAATGTTGCCCACACGTGTCAGAAACATTCATTCGTGCTTAATATTTAAGGGTACGATAACTGTATGGATTATTGGAATTAATCTAATATTTTAGGACATTTCCAACGAAAGCAGTTGGATCTTAAGTACTTTTGCTACTGTTTTAATCGGGCATAGCGATAATCTAGTAAGATGGCTTATTTTTATTTTGATTACATTCGTCCGATTCATGAAGAAGGAGACAAGGCAAAGTTGGCTCCCTTTATTAATGGATTAAGATTCTGCACATCTGATCGACTAATTGGCTATTCAGTGATAGAATCCCATCAAGAGGAAGGAGCTTTGAGAAGGGGTTCTCAAAGAATAATTTCACCTCCTCCTTCAATTCCAACAAATTATACTCAAGGTGTCAAATTTTTAGATTTAGTGTGTTTAATAAGCGTGCATTTTAGTGTGTTTTAATTGTCTATTTGATAGAATGAATCTAGAGGCTAGAAATATGGAAATTTTTCCCGTATATTTTTGCAGATTTTGAATAAATGTATCTTGATAAATTGTTTGCCTAAGTTGGAATAACTTCGGAGTTATCGAAGGAACAGGTTGGTGGCGTTTGCTTGTCTAGATTTTTCTCTAAAAATCTCTTTATCAGTGACCCTCCACCCCACCCACCGTCTTCATTTTTTCCGCATTGATTCTAGACTTAGTGACTGACTTCCGCCTAATTATACCAACTCTTAATATGTTATGATAAATAGATTTCCAAACATGCTACTATTTTTGATTCAACATAATCTAAATAACTTATGGATGACTATTTAGAGATTCTATGGTAGGAGTTTAAACGTCTCAGGTTTTTGTTTCGTCACTTAATAAGGCTGATGGTAGATTTGGCATTAGTGACACTGACCAAATCTTGACTTTACTGTCATTTCTAAAATTTCGGATTTTTTAAACAACGTTTCTTACTCATTGAAAACAACTCTTTTGTTTAATTAATATGAAATGTTTTGGACTGGTGCATTTCTTGAGAACATTTCAAGCAATCGCTTGTGTTTTTCACTCTAGCCAAATATGAAAAAAACATTAAGTGAAATTTGCACCTTGAGTTGAAATGCTTCTTACGTAAGCATCTATTCTAGGTTGATATTTATTTAATTAATGATTGGCTAATTGTAAACAATTGCAATTACTATTAAATAATAACATAGCCTAAAACCATCTTTGCTTTTTATTCAGGCTAAGCACGTGTCACCAATAATCGTCGGTTTGAATGGAAAACACCCAGATTTATCTATTCCTCCAGGAAACACCAATGAACCAATCACTTCGGATTTGACCTGTCGAAAGAAAAGAGATTCTAACCCAATTGCTGTATCAGTTATTAACCGAGAGGATGGTGTCTTGCCTCGGCCTACGACTTTTTACAATGACCAAACTATTGAACACTCAGATGGTGAAGCTAAGCTTTTGTTGAGAACTAGATTGAGTCTGGCGTCGAAAGTCAATGTGGAAAATGTCTCATCAAGTAAGCTTCATTAGTACCATATGATTTGTAGTTAATTGGATTCTGTGGGCAAATTCGCGTTTAACTGGTGTTCTATTTATATTGAGCAGAAAAGAGGCTATTTGAAATTTGAGAATTGTCTAATATCAATCAATCAATATAATTATTTTGATCGGATAACACTAAAACCTAATCAACTGCAATGGAAATGAGGTAGGAAAGAAATCCTCGACTGAAGTTAATGTTTCAACAAGTCTTTCTCCTTCTTATCTTTTCATTCGAGTTTAAGCATACTGACTGACCTTGGCATCTTTATAAATTTTGATCTTTTGAATATTGTGAACAGAGAATGGGCTTGCACAGTTTATTAAGAGAGTGATTAGCTTTAATATAACAGAACTAAGGTAACAAAGCAATATTTGCTTATAAATGATCTTAAGTATATTTGGTACTTTGAGTTCATTTGAAAGGCAAATGTGGGATTAGATTTAACCATTCTTTGGTCAGTTTTACATGAAGATCTATTCCAGTGTGTTGTTGAGGACTTGGAATTCGAGGATTCCTCTTTATTGTCCTTGAAATTTTTAATTCATATTCCTTAGAAGAGCCATGAATATACGACTACAGTGCAGAATTGTTTATACAAGAGTCTAAAAATAATTTTTGGCAGTTGCCGACCTAGCATATTTTAATTCAATAATTCATTTGGTATTCAAAGTCAGGTTTTGCAAAATCGCAACTGCTCTTTAATACTCTCTGTCATTTTCCTTACTTTTTTTATTATTCAAATTAATTCGTGATACTTAGCGATCGGACATAAAATATAAGTGTTTGATCACTTTGATTAATCTAATTTGATTGCTTCAATTAAATTTCCAGACATTTTCCGAGTCCTATTTTTTTACATGATGGAATCACTAAATAAAAATTTATTTTAAATGGATTAGATTTAACTTACTGTTAATCATATAAAAAGTTTCCTTCACAATTTTTTTCGGAATTTAATATTGTTTTCTATGACTTAGTGCTTAGACTTTTCACTTTTACGGATTTCTTAGCAAATGAAAAATTTTGATTAATTGCGTTTTATTTAGAATGTGCCATTACTTGACTTTAAAATACAAAAAATAGAAGGGCATACTTTCTTGTTTACTACTTAAATGTTTAAGTAGTGATACTTTGGTGCGATCACCATGAACGAAAAAATACAGGCAATTTGGCGAAATAAAATAGGCAGAACACATCTTTCAAATACCAATTTTATTATTTTATGAAGAAACTTAGGTCGAGAGTAGCAAAATAGACCATACAACAAAATTCAATGTGCTAGTCTTGAACCATTGTGATAAAGTTATTATTTTTCTTCTGCTCTTTTCTATTTATTCATTTATTTAAAATTGCACAGGATACTTATTTATATATATCAAAACTGAACTCACTGTAAAATTTTCAAATGATCAGTATTATATACAATACTAACCTTGTTATATTTACTAATTGATTTATTACATAAATAGTGTTTTACAGTAAATGGTTTGGTCATTAAACATTATAGAAACTGTATCTTTCTTTCTAGAAAGAAACTAGAACCATTTTGCTATTCATTTTAATTCTTCGATTTTTCTGACATCTATAATTAGCTTTTCTTCGAAGTTTTAATTTAAACACATTCTTGCTTCGAGATATTCATTTCAATGGCTGCTTAAAATTACTCATATATTTCATTATTATCATGATTAGTGGAGTGGATAAATATTGGGAGAGGGTTAGATTCTTTCTACTTGTTTATCTACCGAATAGTTTATCGAAATGTTCTCTGAGATCGTTGAATCTGATTTAAATTTTCATCAAGCCAATTTATTTATAAATCAAAAGCTGCATGTCGTATTAGCAGTGAAGAAATAATCAAGCTCAATTAATAGACAAGCACTTGGATCTCCCATCCTCGGGTGCTGTGACCATATTGAAACTATTTTTTGCATAATTTAGGGCTCTTTGTTTGAAAAAGAGTTCATTAATCACAATTTCAATGAAAAAATAAACTCATTAAATATTTCACTCCTGATATGAACCAAATTTTCTTATGATTCTGGAAGGTGCGAGGTGATTGATGTTGACTGACTACTTGGTGGATTCAATCCACCGGCATTTTTGCTTTTGATATCTTTTAAAGAGTATTGACGTTCCTACAGGCAATAGTCTTACCATGATTATTTAATTTGAGCAATAAAGTCACTCAGTACATTGTGTCACGTCTCGTGATACATTCGTAATGCGATTATCTCTGCATAAAGGGGCGCACCCGAAATGAACGAATTGCCGCAACTAGTGAGCGATTAATTTCTTCACTGCGATGACAAAGTCGATGCATTTGTTGATAATCTGAAACTTATTTTCGCTTTAAGTTATTTACTCGATGCAGTTTTTGTCACAAGTAACTCATTATTTTAACGATAAGATACTTTAATCAATAAGGCAATAATTTTTCTCGATTAGAAAGAAATTAAACTCAAGTAAGGGGTCTAATGACTTGAAAAACTATCTTATCTCTGATACCTTAAAAATATAATTTGAGGATCGTTTGATGAGTTCATTTGGTTTCTCATCCATTAGGAGAAAATCGATCAAAGTGGCATTGATTACTCTTCCCAATTAAAAAATTCCGGTCAATAAGCGCTGAATTTCGTATGCTTTGAGTTCCAAAAATTCAAATCTTAACGAAGACATATTTTGAGGAAATTTAGTCAACTGGTAAGAATGCTGATTTAATTTAAGAGCCTGGAGTATAAATGTGATGTCTCTTTGAATTTTCAATGAAATCACAGTTAGGAGTTTTGCTGAATCATGACACTCAGAGTTTGTTTTTGTTCACATACCTTGAGTTTTGTAAATATTTTTTAAGGATATTCCGATTTATTTCAAATTTTGAAATTATATTTATCTATTATTGAAAATTCGACCAAGACAAAGAATAGAAAAATCTTTGAATTAGCATTTTCGCGTTTTACATCGTTTGGGAGCTCAATTACTTAAATAGATTAATTGATTTTTCAATATACTTTTTTCGTCAGTTTTAATCCACGTTTTAACATTTCCGAAGTGCATTTTAGAGGTATTTATTGGATTTACATGATATCGTTCCTTTGACATCCAATTAGTTTATTACAGGTTTAAACATACATGGCTATTTTTTCTCATTACACTGTTATGCATCAAATTTAATAGCTCAAAAGAATGTTATTAAAACATATTTTCACCTGGAGTATCGTAACTTAAATTATTTAGGAATATTTTAGACTGATCCCCCCCCCCTCCATTTTAATTTTATTTAATTACTTAGTTTATTATTTTAATTTTAGTCAATAGATCTCTCGAGAACTACGAATCTATGGTGAGTTACATATTTTTCTAAACTTTAATTCATTTAATTTATCATATGGAGATTAGGTAATTAGATAAGTAGGAATTTTGACTTACTGGAGACGAATTTAAGTCAACTAGAAGTATGATAAGCCGAGGGCACAGTTTCGCGCGATCTCATAAAGATGCCTGCATGTGCGTAGGTACAGCCAACTCGAAATCATATGTGAATGTGTATTTGTATGTGTTTATGTGCTCAAGCCCCTTCTCAATCGATTGCCATTTAATGGATACCTCCTAATTGGTTGCGAGAAATTAGCTTCTGTGGTGGCAGCGCCAATGAAATCATAATTGCCAGCACACATGCCTTCTCTCACGCTTTCCGCGCCTTTCTAAGTTGGCATTTGATGGGAAATAAGGTGAACAAGCAGCACCTCATCTCGTCCTGTCATGAACCACGGGAGCAGCAGTAGACCAAATTTCCTCTTTGCCACTTCACGACACCTTGACGCCGATCGTAGTCTCCACCAAATGTGCCTTTCTCCAGATTGCGTCAGTGCCAATATCCCTCCTCCTCAACTTCCCCAGTCTTCTCCAAAAGAGGGTTTCAGTTCAATCCTCAGTTTCTGGGCGGACATTGAACAGTCTTCTAGTCGATCAACTTCCATTACTATGCCACGGCTTAATCCCTCTCTCACTAACGGCCTTTCTCGAAGTCGAGTAGGAGGAGGTATAAACCATCTCAGCTCTGGAACTACTAGTGACATGGATTCCATTTCAAACTCTACAAGTAGTCGACAACAGAAAAATGAACCCCTAAAACCTTCTAGATCAGAGGAGTCTTCAGACATTGATAACTTTAGCACTCCATATGAGCTAATTGTTCCACCTAAACCTTCTAAAACCCCCAAACCAATGCTTGCTACTCCTCAAACAAAAGTCTTCCAACCTCCTAATGGTATTGGGTATGGAGAATATGCTAATATCTCAAAGAATGGACACTCTTTACCACCTCCCTTGCCCTCAGAAATGGAAGATTCTCCTCCAATTTTGCCACCGAAATCCCCACTTCTTCGTCCGGTTTCACAAGATAATAGAATTCTTTTTAATGGAATTCAGACGATGCCTCGTTTGAATGGAAATTCCCTTAAGTCTAACGAACCAAAGCCACCTTCTCCCCTCCCAGCAAAACTTCTCCCTCAAAATGGAAAAAGTAATCATAATGAACCCGTGATGGCGAATGGAAATACAAGGAAGAGTAATTTTAATCGATTCAGTCCAAATTTCCGTTACTCATTTAACCGGCCACTTGATGAACCTTCTAAAATTTCAACGGCTAGGTCAATTTCAGCTTACGGAGCTGTTCGAGAAAGTACGCCTGAACTTCCCATTAAATCAACATCTAAACGTCCAGCTACAGCAATGACTACAAATATTGGAGTATTCCAGGTTCGATATCCAACAATGAGTATGACACACACTCCAGCAAAAGTACCCATCGTCAGAGTTGAGACTTATCAAAATGGTGCTCAGCCCCTTAACTATACTCCAGTACTAAAACGTTCATCTTCACGAGGAGGCGAATCTAGCTTCCAACGTGGTCGGGAAAGTAGATTTTCCTTGAGGACTAATGGATGTGCTAATGTTGCTCCTTATTCCAGCCGTAATTCTCGATCAAGCGTTAGTTCTGTTTCAACACTTCTCTATTTTACTACTCGTCTTGTCATTGCTTAAGTATTTACGGATCTGCAAACTATTAGCTTAATGATTATTGAAACTATAAACTATGCCCTTGAAGGTTAGAAAGTGAGTTGTGATTTTCTATTTCACCTACACACATCTTTCTTTGCCAATCAACTCCTTGACTGCACTAGTGATTTGAAATGTTAAATTTAAATTAGAAATAATATTATTTTAAGCTGGTAAATCGATATTTCATTAAATACATCAATCACTGGTAGGTGCATCATCATTTTTTTACTCTTTTTAAATCATTGCTCAAAATCGTATATCCGATTTGTGCTTATGAGATTAAGTTTTAATTGATTTTTTATTTAATTTCTAATAGCATTGGACTATTTGCACTCAAGGATTTTGTTCTTATCTTGTGTGCCAAGATAAATAGTTAACACAGAAATCTACATAAACACGATTTTAGCAATATGCTATTACCTAGGATTAAAATTTTCATATATGTAATTAGAGTTTGTCAGCTTTTGACGCTGAGAGCAGTTCAGTATGAAATGAAAGAAGCAAGTCAGAGCTAGGTGTAAAAAAAATAATTCATAGTTTGTTTATTAAAAAAACACGTATTCCGACGCATAATAGAAGACTAACTCTAACATGCTATTTTAGTTACAATTAAGCAGTATTGTTGTCCATTCCTCTCTTTGGATGTGCACTGACAGGAATCAAACCCAGAGCCTTTAAATTGATAAACGACCAAGGTGATCAATTATTATCAAGACGTTAGGGTCACTTGTGCCTGTGGTTCAGTGGCTAATGAGCTTGCTTGGAAATCAGAGATCATATAGACCAATATCTGTCTGGGCACACGCAATTAGCTGAATCAATAAATGCCCTTGTTAAGTCAGACTCTTAAAAGGCTTACAGAATTCGAACTTCTAGCTCAGAAGTTTCACGATACTAAGTGTTACCCATGATGAATGTTAGGAGGCACGTATTTAAATGTCTATGAGGTCACCATTATACCAAGTAGCTTTATAACGTTGAAGTTAGTGTTTTTTTAGGTTTTATGCTGCTATATGCCCCAATCTCAGTATTTGGCTCCAGCATTTGGACAAAGCTCATATCGGCGAAGTTTAACGATTATCGAATACTGAAGTACATCTAGTTGTTACTACCTATGGTGATTTTAACTTAGTGAAATTAATAGAATTTGAGTTATATTGAATTTTGTGAAATGAAATATTGTAACTTTTATTTTAATTGCCATTCATTATTGATTTTTAACTTCTATGAATGCAACATGGTATAATACTCGTTTCGAAATCCTATTCATTTAAGTCAAATATTGTTTAAAGACTCCCAGTAGGATTTTACGTCAACTAATTTCAATTTCTATTGAATGAAAAGATTTTAAAACGTACACTGTGCTGTTGTTGCTTTCTTCTCTAGATTTCTACAATTCTTCCTAGCTCTTATTTTCCTGCCAATTAGCCGACTCCATCAACTGATCACGTGTCAAATTAATTTAATACCTAATATCTTCCCTGGCTTTTAAAAGGAAATATTGTCTATATATGGGATAGAATTGTTGACCTCTACTTTTTGACGATAGAGTAAGGGGAATTTGGCACCGTATGATTCGTAATTCATATGATTATATTATTTATAACTACAGAGTGAAATGAGACATCAGCACTCCACAAAGTCCATTTCAAATCGTTCGGGTGGGGATGGATTTGGGGGCAACACGGATACCTCCTCTGTGAGTCCGAACCATTCAGATGAAAATCTGGTTACAGTGACGATTCGACCCAATGCGGAAGGTCATTATGGCTTCAATGTTAGCGGTGGTGCCGATCTTAAAAGGCCAGTCGTTGTCAGCCGAGTGGGCGACAGAATGCCGGCTGCAACCTGTTGTCCACGCCTTCATGCTGGTGACCAGATCATACGCATCAATTATCGTGACATATCAGACTACACTCAAGAACAGGTCAGTTTTCTATTTCCCAGACTTTTATTTCAATCTGACACAACAACTTTACTTTGCATAAGTCGGGTCGACCTAGATTCTATCATGTCATGGCTCTTTTAGGGAAACACACTGGATTATTCATTAAATTGTGTTTTTATTTAGGCTATGAAAAAGCCTCGTGAATTGTAGAACTTGACTTTACAACTTCCGTTTTTCACACACTAATTCTGCGTTTCTTCCTTCAAGAGTCATTTTAGCTAATGCGGTGTTAAGAATAAAACTTAAAAAATTTTAATTATATTTTAAGTTAGATACGCTAAATTCTATTCGATTGAGGCAGTGCTGTTTCTGTTGAACACTTGTAACTTTTAGCACTACCATTTCGAATTGCAAATTAGAAAATTTATTTAATTTCTTATCTCGAAATTAAGCAATTTAGACATTCGAAAAACTATACAGATGCCAGGTAATTTTCCTTCCAAAAAAATAGATTTTTGATCACTTTTCAATGACAAATGGAAGCAAGGAAACACGCATGTCTTATTGATGCGTGTCTTTTCTCTTCAGCTTTCTGTGTGGTCCAACAGTTGAGTTCAGTTTAAGCTCAGTTTCGAAGGCGCCTGACTGACAGTTTACCGTTTTTAATTTTAAACACAGATGGACTGCACTTGTCTACATTCTTCTATTCCTTGTTTCACAATCCGGTTCATACCCTCTTGTTAAAAGTCAAAAGCATGCCAAGTTTTTCATATTTCCCGCCTTTGCGATTTTGTTTTAGTAGCACAAAATTAGCCAAAAATATTGGCATATATAGATGAAGCATAGCAAAAATTATTAAAATTCATTCAAATTACGATTTTTTCTCTTCATTTGGGGTTTCTCGAATTGCTCGGGACTCTAGTAAAAAATCCACTGTCTCGAGATTTGCAAATCCTCTTTTGATTATTTTCACTGCCTTTTTACCTTTTCCATCTTTTATAGTTGAACTACTTCTTTCTGAAACACCCAGTTTATTGATAATTTAGTAAGCACATAAAAATTATAATGAAAGGAAGTATTTTCAATCTCTCCGATTACTTATTCATTACTAGATAGTGATCGAAATTAGCATCTTTCTTTTTTCTAAAAAACAACAGATACTATGCCCCTGTTTAGCTTTCCTTGCACCAATTAATGGGTACTAGATGTAGGAAACATTGTTGTTGTTAGCAAATGGTAGGAAGTTATCATTAGCCCTTTAGTTGACTTCAGGCTTCACAGAGGGGAAGGAACATCAAAGTGAAAAAGTCGAGAGGGAGGGGGAACAGAAGAGTGTTTCAAAGATGTTAAAGAGACAGACAAAAAAGTAGAAAAAAGGTGAGGTGAGAACTGTGTAAGTAATCGAATATGACATGCAGTGGGGTGATGGTAGTTTGAAGTCAGATGTCAACTACCGTATGAGTATACGTTGGCCAGGGTGCACCACGTGGAGGTAAGTCTATCGCACACCCCATGTAGGAAGCAATGTGTAAAATTAAATTGGTCTGAAGGATCGAATTAGCTTTTTAAATACCTGGATAAGTAAATAAATTAGTAGTCTACTCAATAGTTTACTCATTGAACAATTTTCTAAGAGGTAACTTTGTATGTGCCAGTCACTAATCAGTTCAACTTGAATTTGCCTCGAGAGGCCTTCTTACTTTTACGATCTTCGTCTGAATCGAGTTATCGATGAAACAGGTTTAGTGGTAATTTTGCCCACTATGCCTGCCATGCAT